GAGTTTACGCTCAGCTGGTCTGCAATAAAGGATGGAGTCCAAAGTCAAATGTGGGGATTCCTCGACCCCGGGGGCCAAAACCACACTGGGGTTTAGCAGGGAGGGGAGGCTGATGAGAAACTGCCAAAAGATCAGGCCAGGAGGACGACACAGATCCATCCCAAGAGTGCTGTCTGCCAGGTCCGGGGGCTGGGTGTTCGGGCAGCGCTGTGCTCCATTGTGCCCAGGGGTCAGTTCAACAGGAGCGGGCGATGGGCGTTAGACTGGCGCAGAGTATGAAACCCACTCAGGTTCCCTCTGGAAGGCCTTGACTCCTTTCCGATCCCGCGTGTATAGACACACAGCTTAGAGAGTGGGCCCCTTGTGGCTGAGTCTCCTCAAAAGAAATCGTTTTTCCCTTTTTGGGGGCTCCTCTCTTTAATTGAAATATAATTTCTGAGCAATAATCAGTGTGGCCTTTTTGACACAGAGAGTTGGAGGATACAAAATGAGTCAAAAACAAACCCTCCAATCCCCTGGCCTGAACAGCGGAGGCCTTTGGTAGATGCAGAGGGGTGGTGGCTGGCCCCAGGGGCTCAGGGCCCAGGAACAGGCTGCTATAGAGGATCTGGCCCATGACCAAGGGCAACATGCCTGAAGGACCCTTCAGCACCACAGTGAGGGGGCCTTGGGTGGCACAGTCACCCTTCGGTGCTGCAGCACGGCCCACATCATCACCCCAGCCTCCTTGCTACCTGTCTGCTACTGGACCCTGGGTGGTCTGCGCCAATTCTTAGATCCCATTTTTGTCTGCACCCCGATGCTGAGCTGTCGGGAGCTCTGAGCAATGTCCACTGTCCGGTAAGGGCAGTTCACCGTGCGTACTTGTCATTCTTGTTCTGCTGGGGTGACCGATGCGTCACACAAGAACATCACACAGGAACAGAGAGGCAGGGTCAGCCAAGGTCACTGGAAAGCAGCCAGAGCTGCTCCGATGGGACCATGCGTGATCCCAGCAGTCAGAACGCAGGGGTGCCGGGGGGGTTGGGTGGGGGGGGTACCAGCCCGACAGTCCGTTCCTGGATGCACTAGCATCAAATAGGCCAGACTCGAGGTGAGGAGGGGGAAAGGGGGTGAGGGAAGCATCAAGAGAATGGCCTTCTCCACCCGGAACCTGAGAGATGAGGTTCTGAGAAGGGGCCAAACAGAGCCAGGTGCACCAACGCACGTGCACCGAATTCCACATCAGCTCCCGATGCCTCGGTGGGAGACGGAGGGATGGTGGTGTTGGGGGAGGGGGAGAGGTGTTGAGGAAGAAATCAGTGACTCACATTATACGCATTGATAATCAGTTGAATGATATTTTTGGAGTCTCCATGTAGAATCTCCACTGTTGTTCCAGGTATCAGGGCTGTAAAATTCTTGGAGGAAAAGAAACAAAGAAACGATAAATCCATTTGCTCCTCCTTACCCTCTAGGAGAAATAGTGCTATACTGAGCCCAGCCAGGAAGGAGATCCAAGCGCTAGGCAAAGGAGCTTCAAATAGCTCATGGAAAGATGAATTTAAAAGATAACGTCATTTCCCCCCACAAGCTTTTCCAAGCTCCCTCGTCTTCTGCCAGTCTTCTCACCCCACACAGGAGAAGACAGCGGGGACTGTCGCAGGGAACAGTGTGCGGAAGGACACCCTGCAGGCGGACAGTATCTGAACCTGAGGCCTGGTGGGATCGCCTTCCCAGAAAGCCACAGACAATC